ACCCCAGATAACGAGATCGGAATATTGTTACCATGGTAATAGGCAACTACAGATGGGGCGTGCATTAGTCGTTGACCTCTTCCTTGCATATAGTGAAACCTTTCATAGGATCGTTATGGCAACTAGGATAATTTGTCTGGTGCTTAGTACAGTAGCATGTGGGCGAAAATGGGGAATAAAGGAATTCAGCTATATGACATTTCCATATTGAACTTTCAGAGTTTTTAAAGCCTCAACCTCAACAGTAAAAACACAAATTAAAAAAAAGAAACAACACACTTCTTGCCTGAGTTTTTATTATAAATCCTTAAATGTCTGAGGCACTTATGCTTATATAGTGCAGAGTTTTTAACGCCTCAACCTCAACAGCAAAAACAAAAATAAACAAAAACAAACAACACACTTCTTGCCTGAGTTTTTTTTTAAAAATCCTTAAATGTCTTAGGCACTTATATATATTGCAGGCGATTTTTAAAATTTTATTTTAATGCGATCATAATTTTAGATTTTCACTATTGCCCATAAATTTGGATTAGCTTTTGTTTACCTCTCTTCATGAAGGATTGTGACAATATAATTCATTCTTGATATACAAAGTTGATACCTTCTCAGAATTATGAAGATAGATCTCTATGACTGTTAAAGGGATCGTTTAACAATGTTAAATCTGAGATACACGGTCCTACATGTTATTAGTGTCTGTGATATGGTGTAACGTTGAAGCCCTAAAAAAATCGCGCTTCAAAATGATCAAGAAGTGCCTCAAAAAAGTAAAAATCTTTGAGTGACCGGTTATACCATACTCGTTTTCCCCAATAGACTGTAGTGTTATGAAAACCGTCAGGCGAACGGTTTTCAAAATTTGTAATTCCAATCATAAATATCTTGATAATCAGACAGGCGATCGGCTTGTAAAAGTCATGGGGTTCCTGACTGACCTAAAGGTTTATAATTATCATTGCATCATGAACTAAATCCAGAATTTTGTTTCAGAATCTGAGACAAAGTTACCGGATCCCTTTAAGATTGATGAATGAAGTCCTGAGAAGACATAATATGTTTCCATCAAGCATAAATCATTGCCACAATCATGCCATGATAAGAGTTAAAGGCATCGTTTAACAATGTTAAATCTGAGATGCATGGCCCTACGTGTTATCAGTGTCTGTGATATCGTGTTATATTGAAGCCCTACAAAAAATGCGCTTTAAAATGATCAAGAGGTGCCTCAAAAAAGTAAAAACCGTTGAGTGACCGGTTTTACCATACTCATTTTCCCGAATAGACTGTAGTGTTATGAAAAATCGTTTGGCAATCGCAAAAATTTGATTTCGATTTTCAATCATAAATATCTTGCTAATCAGACAGGCGATCGGCTTGTAAAAGACATAGGGTTCCTGACTGACCTAAAGATTTATAATTATTATTGCAGCATGAGCTAAATTAAGGATTTGTTCAAAGGATCTAAGACAAAGTTACCGGATCCCTTTAAGACAAATCTACCCCTGCTCCATGGGCAACAGTGTTGTTCGGTCTATTCCATGTAATATTTACATGTACATAGATGATTCTAAGCAGACAAGCAGACCAGGGCAATATAGGCCCACATCATGATATTGCATTTTTCTTCATTCATATTGCGACTTTGCCCTAACTCTAAACATCATGGTCTTTAATAGTTGGACACATATTGTAGTTTCTTTCCTTAAGGAGCATGGTAGAATGTGGAATAAAAGATTGCTGTGACGGACGCGTATCCGAAAGAAAGAGTCGATTTTTTTTCTTTGTTTTTAAATTAGGTTCAAATTATCGAATATTTGCAGGGCACCACAATAATTATATATCGTTATATTGATGTATATTTCAGCCGTCTCTGAACCGATTTTGATTAAACGAAGATGATTTTGTCATTTAAATTGAATGTTCTTTCAAATTTGACATTAAGTTTTTCATTATCTCACAAAATATATTTTGAGTAGCACCCTCTGCAACAAAACTCAACTATCCCTTTAAAGGTATAGTTGGGTTTAGTTGTTCCATTTTGCAGTTCTTTCTAAATTTGCAACATTAACAAGCAAAAGTCGAACCGCATGCATGTCGCTATACATAAGTGCATCGCGTTGGCTCACTTCACGCCTGCTTGCATAATCAAACACTGCGAATCATCAATCTCCAGTCGACGAACTGGAATAACATCTGTCATGCCTGATCAATTCCTTTAAACGTAAGCCAATTGGCATGAGAGCTGTATGGCCTTATGGGCCACATCCATCAGGCGACGATCTCACCTTTAGAAACATTAGGAAATTAGTACGAGGCGAGCCGATGATGAGAAGAGCATACAGCATCGTCTGTACGCCGAGATGGATGGGCGGGAGAAGTAAAAAAAACGGCATAATTTTTAGCCTTAATACCAGTCGCCTAAAAGATAAATAAAGGCAATGTCGTCATTTCGGTTCCATCGTTACTACAGGTGTGCTAGGTAGCATTTGAGGTATCCATTAAAAGATAAATTAAATAGACTGTATTTGCAAACTACGGCAATTTATACCTGTGAAACCATACGACAGAATAATGCCCTAAAAATATGACAATTCCCATGACGAATATGCATACTATTGGCAACCATATTAATGATTATGAATATGCAATGTGAATTATTTATGCGGCAATACGTTGTATATTATCTAATACTTGTACCTATCAAGTGGATCTTTCTTCTTATTGATCTGGATTTAAAGTTGAACCTATGTCCAACACATGAAGGAAGCTTGGGTTCACAGTATAACTTTTGTATTATTGTCGATTGTGGCATTTGCCATTTTTGTTCATAGCATTTAATAACGGTCATTATCTCTTACAACAAACATAAAACTGGGGTATTTGGGGTATTCAGTATTCTACACTATTTGTAAGAGCGTATTTTGTTCTCCGAAGTTTGAGCAAGTTTGTACACAAATCGTGTGAATATCTCGTCCAATTAAGATCACATTCATCATTGTTATAAACATTCCTTAGCTATCCGAGATTTTCGGTAAAATAATTATAGGCTAGGAGATTATGGAGATTATGTTGTCTGGTTTCGTTTATATTAGAGAGTGTTGAAATAAAATATATTTTAATAATCATTGTCGCGGTTGTTCCATGAATAAGATGAATCGTTCTACATGATGAACTAACATTATACTCCCCTGTTACAGCATAAAATTACTCCATTAAATTGACTGCCTAATTTATTGTCATCCTCTATTGGACTTTTCTTTTCAAGTGTTTAAGTTTAAAGATAAAGACCAGTAATATGGCCATGCGATTGCATTGTGAAAGAAACGTTGTGGAATCGATAAGAAAAGGTTGATCACCTAGCATATAAGTATTGGTGTGTACTGCAAGGTTCTGGAATCATCAAAATGATAAGAAATTTGGCCCAGTCTTCGTAAAGTTACAAGCACTGTACAGAGAAAGATGTATATGGGACTACGCACACGTGCACGACACTTGCGTTTTTCTCTCACAGTCCAATAGATAAACTAATTTACCAAATATATCAATTAGTAGGCGGTTTCCCGGCAAAATTTGTATCATCATGTATTAGTCAAAACATATTCTTTCATATGATTGGTAATAAGAGCTTCCATTTCATTTTTTGAAATTGGGGCGTTTCCAATACTGGTCTTTACCTTTAAATCATGTTAATCCATGATCTTCTTTCACGGCACTTTGGATTTTTTTTTTTTTTTTTGTCTTCTGTAAAATATAAACATTACCTTCATCATTCTCCTTTCATCGTGCAGGCTCTACTTTTTGGACCCAAAAGGCAAAGGCTTTATCGAAGACTCCCTGAAAAGGTATATTATTTTGAATTTGTGGAAAAACGCATGTAAGAGATACATGTTGAAGTTCACAAAGCAAGGACTTAGCTCATAGCCTGCGCAGATGTTTTGCACCCGTAAAGGGCAGTTTTGCATCGCTTCAGGGTAAATTCTTACTTTGTATCACTCTAGATATATCTCTTCTTTTTATTTCTTGTCAGAGTAAAAGACCTAGAAGTTCACGTTCTCTATTTTGTCTTTTAAGAGATCGTTAGAGGCCATACTGCAGGATATACTTATTGCGTGGAAAATGCAAACTATACTAATTTGTCTTCGTTTATGAAGATTATTATGACCCCCAGCAGCGATTTATTCAAAGTAAAATTCCCAAGCTCTCCTGTTAAATCTTATAGCTAACATTTTGTATTTGGATCTCCCTCTGAAAAGTGACTTTTATGAGTCTTAATTATTCAGTTACCCTCGGGTACATGCAATGTTGGTAAAGACACTGTGGTTAATGCATACATGGGACGAAAATAGCACACAACGTGGTATTTATCAATAATTCATAGCTGACACCTATCTGCAAAAAGGAAGGGCATTTTTGTATGTGTTCCAGAAGATCAAAAACTGACGATTGGAGTTGTTTTCAAATAGTAATTCACCTTTTTGTCAGAATGGCAAATAGTAGACACAACCATGAACTTGAGACTCGGAAGGATGATGATCAAGTATATACAACAACAAAAAATAAAGGTCGTAAAGTAAAACTAATATTTCTTGTTGAAGTATGAGGGAACTGAATCAATAACAGGCACAGCCATCTAAACACAAACAAACAAACCATCAAAGGCATTAAAATAACCCAATGTTTATCCAGACGTGCACTGCAGTAAAAACACTTTGTATTTCAGCCTATCAAATTGATTTCAAAATTTAGGTGAAAATGCATGTACCTTACAAAGGGAGGAAATGTAAACATATCAATGAAGAGGAATTTTTAGTTTTACAATGATGGTCTTATTTTCACATCTAAACATTCAAGTCTACTGTCACAAGCACGATTACTAAACATTAAAACCATCTTTCCAAGATAAAAAGAGATTACAATTATGTCTTGAAATGCCGCTTGTTCACACGTCTGGATAATTCATCTACAGCTCAATAATAATGACAATTAAAACCGATGTATTCATTTGTTTCTTTGTATATTCACATTTTATAGCACACCGCTTGACATTTCGTAATATTGCAACAGACATGATTGGCTTACATACGTGAATATCAGAATTACACCATTCTACAATGTAAAAAGAGAAAATAAAAATTTAAAAAACATGGCAATAATCAACATTCCATTTACTCCGTATCTCACTCCAATTCCACAATATTTGGTTTCATTCTACATGTACAGCGATGAGCAACACAGGAGATTTAAAAAAGTAAAACCAACATTGCTTTGAAATATTGTTCCATGCATGCACTAAATTGACTAAAATCTACCTTCTTATCACTATCTCATCAGGGACCCGTCTTACAAAGAGTTGCGATTGATCCAAATCAATCGCAAGTTCTCCAATCAATCGCAAGTTTGTAGTCTCCTATCTCTTATGTACATAGTTGCGATTGATGTCAATCACAAATAAGTTGCGATTGATATCAACTCTCTGTAAGACAGGGCCCATGCAGGTTTGAGTGCTATTGAGGTATAATGTAACGTTAAATTTTGAAAATCACGAATTACGCTAACCATTTTGTAATAAAATGTTGTTTAAAAAAAAGTAGGAAACAATTTTGTCCTAGACCACGCGTAAGAAAACTTCAATCCGTACATGCATGGTACGACAAGTGAAATAGTTGATTCGTAGATAAAGAAAAAAAATGATAACTTCAAATCAGGTATAGTGACATATATTATTTTATCCAATGATTTGTTAACTCTTAATCCGTTTCCAATCATATAATTTCCTTTTATATTCTTGAAGGTTCAGTGTAAGATTCGTTTGATTATTAATTTGAAAATTAATTGTCCATCATTACCAAAACATAATGCAAAACATGGTGCAGGGTACATAAAATAACATAGAGCTCTGTTCATCGAGAACACAATACCCACAGTAGTGCAATATTATGTCCATATACTATCTTATCACCAACCAAGTGTGGTCGTATAGTGTACATGTATGAAAAGAACAAGGAAAGACGCAATTCGCTTACACAGACGGGTATGACGTCATACATGTACCCTTAAAACAATGCACACCGTTTCTAACATAAGTCGCTTTACAATCCATAAATTAATATCGGGCTCGAGTTGTATTCGTGGACACTCCACAAACTGTCTACTTTTTTTCGACAGAATGTTGGCTCTCTGTGGAGCATACGTATTCACGCTTCTTTAAACCTATATATCTTAAAATTGTAGTGTAAAATAGCAATAGAATGATTTTAGAATACATCACACAGTAGAGTGGCGTCTTATGAGGGAACAGGTGAATAACAAATTGATACAAAAACACGTTAATAAATATTGAATGATAAAAAGGAAGCCATGATTATCATTCGTGATGTTCATTAAAAAAGAGATATACATCGTTCAAAATTTCCCGATTTAAAAATTATGATAAAACTGTTTTTACTGGACTTGTTTAAAAAAAATTAAACTATAAAACAGAACTGTTAAATAAGCACATGTGGTCTTTAAATTTGGCAGATGAAATACCTTTTTAATTTTGTTGTTTATAATCGTATTCAAAAGTATATCGCATAACTTATAAGCAGAAATCCATCTGATGACATGTAATTATATCTATTATAGGGAAGGACAAAAAATACTTTACTTTTGAGGGGTGAGAAGATATACATTAGTACCAGTATGGTTTTGTACTTTCGTTACTTTAATCTCCTTACATATATACGTCATCCGGAGATTACTCGGTATAAATATCAATGAATTCTTGAGTGACAATAAATGAAATTATGTGCTGGGATCAAGACGACACATTTAAACAAAATAGAACAATACATGATGAAATATGAATTCAATTATTAAAACTAAGTCAGCCTTTTGCAATACCACTTCCAAGTTTCAACAACTATGAGAAGTCACGGAATCACTCTCTATATGCTATACCCTAACACCCACATAGATTAAACATCTTAATTTGTTCAATGATGTTGTTTATCTTTAATCTTTCAAACTCTTTTCACTAATTTTAATTGTAAATTCCTTGATTTCTTTTTCTTAATTCCTCTTATGTTTTTATTTTATTTACAACGTTTCCTGATGATAAAACAGCAATATACCCTGCAGATATTGTGTGCGATTCGATATAAATAACTGTGATAGAATGATAGATTTGTTTCGTCATGACAAGACCGTTAGTACATAATGATCGATATATTTTCGCGCTCCAGTCTCACCATGATTTGTGCTAAAAAGTCACGTAGTGTTTACCACCTTACTCGTTTTAATTCGCATACAAGAGCATTAGCTCGTAATAATAATAATGATACATCTTCCTCTATCAAAAGCTGCACAAAGCACATAACTTTATATTGCAAAACGAGTCATTTTGAACAGCGTCCAGCGTAATTCACTTATCTCTATATCTCTCTGATCTGATTGAAAACTTACATAAGTTAATTATGAAACAACTATGTCCATCTACAAAAGGAAGGTGCCTACGTCATAAGATGACGTCAAATCACACCGTTTCTCTGGTCTCTGTTTCTCCTTTCCACGTCCTCTGAAGAGGAAGCTGCGAGCACGCAGCGACGTACCTCAGGGACATGCACCATACATAAGATAGGATTGACACACACCTGGAGAAAAGTCAGCCACGTTGCTATGGAGACGAAAGCGATAGGTAACTGGAGATTGGCACGAAACACTTTCAGGAATGAATAGATGATGTAGGGTGACCACATCACCCCATGAGCTACCGAGATGGAAAAGGTTAGTCTCGTTACTTTTTCCTCTTGGTGAAAGTCTGCGCTAGGTACTGTTGGCTCACCGCGGACCGAGGGCGGGGCCAGGCCCACCAACGGAGGAGGGGTGGGGCCCTGGCGGAACCCTTGGAACCAGTTCGCAGCGGCTTGGCCCGTCGAACCAGGCCCGTAGAAGGTCCAAGTACTGGATACAGCTGGGATGAATTCCAGCGGGCGCATTCGGCGATGCGCGCGCATGAAGAAGAATACACGGAGATAGAAGACGTGAATGAGAGCCGTCACTAGTACAAAAAAGAGAAGGAAAAGCAGAGTGTCGTTGGCTCTGTTTATAGAGCGATGCCGAAATGTACACTGGTGCTCCGTGGGTATGTAACCATAGGCTTCAAAGTTGAATACTGGTGGGAATGCGGTGGATACTGCTAGAGCCCATGCTGATAACACGCATAAAAGGCTTCCAAGTCCTTTGAGCTTTTGTCGGTGGAACCGGTGCCATCTCAGTACCACGTAACGCTCGATACTGATCAAACACAGTGTGTATAATGACCCATAGGGAAGATAAACATTAAAAAACGCGAGAATCTCGCATAAAAACTTGCCATAGACCCAGTCGGATGCGACTACGGAGGTGATGACGAATGGGAAGCAAACGAGTGATCGGACGAGGTCGGCGAGGGCGATGTTGAAGAGGAAGAAGAAGCAAGGTCTCCGTAACGTCTTATACCTGAACACCGCGTATGTTATCAAACCATTACCAGACACACTGAAGATAATAATCAGAACCATTGAAGCTATCCATAAATCTTTGATTCCTCTCTCCACGAGGTCTGGTTCGTTTGGTAGCTCATCATCACCATGGTCCGTCTCGAGGTCAACGTCGCTTTCGTCATCCTTGGCGGAGGACGTGCCATTCGACCACCGATTCGCGTCCGATTCCTGATCCAAGCACGACACAAAAGCGCGCGAAATCAAGAAAAGCAACACCACTGTCGCCTGACGTGCGTAATCCATTGCAGTTGTTGATGGCAGCGATCACATGTCAAAACGAAGTAAACATGAATCCTTAACTCATGAAATAAACACAACGCATAATTCCGATATGACAAGACTTAATCCACATTAATGACGGTAGAATCCTCGCTCGAAATGGTGAACGTTGTAGTCACCACCACTATCTACATATCCCTTTAGATTACTCGGCTCTGACGGTGATCGCAGAAAATAATGATCTACACAAGGAGAAGAGCTTTATCCTTTTTTGAGTCTCTCCGTTTTTACACGAGCACCTGAAGGAAGGTTGAATCACAAAGCGTTGAGAATGTTAGACATAGCACTGATGACGCATAATCTCGATTCAGAGTTCGAGCTTTTTTTTCCTTCTTTCTCTCTCTCTCTCTCGCTATCCTATCCTCCCTCCGCCGTTGTACACTTGATGGTGCTCAATCGCATGTATATGGATCCGCGATAGCTCTGCTCGTGTATTTCCGTTATGCAAAACTCGTCCGCCGTTCGCAATTCGGCGTCCAAGAAAAGTAATGTTATGTCGGTCGTTAGCTGCTGCATGCATGCGAATGCTGTGTGTTCACGTACATCGTACAGCTGGCGGATGGCGTATGATGGTGGAGAGACACCGATTTGAAAGGCTTCTAGTCACGATGGTCACATCGATGTATGTCTGATATATATAATATCTGTAGAGGGAGAGAGAGAGAGAGAGAAGGAATATTAATATAATAGGCTCTTAGGAAGTATGTGCCATTGTCTCTTTTATGAGCTGCAATGTATTTTAGGGAAATGATGTGTTTGATTCTCCATTTACTCCAAGGATAAATTATGATGCTTTGTGAGTGTAAATGATTCAATTATTATCATGTGGCTCATTAAAAAAGTCTTTAAGGGCGAATTAATTATTATAGACAAATATGTGAGTAGAATAAAAAAAAGAAGAAGAAAAGGAAGAAGAGAAAAAAGAAAAAGAAGAAGAAAAGCAACATGGAAGAGAATTGAGGAACAATTTCTTCTTTGTGTTGTTCAAATAATAAAATCAAATGCAATTGATTTACAAATCGCATGGGAAAGCATTACATAATCATAATCATTCAAGTAAATGATTCTGCACAGGCTCTCGTGAGACCACATTTACATTTCATTACAGAATAATTGCATAAATGATAAGATACTGGTGCACAAATTATGAAAGCTTCAGACAGACAGACAGAAAGGCAGATAGATAGAACGACAAGAGAAGGTAGATGTAGGAACAGATGATGGGGTCGAAAACAAGGTGCTGAAGTATATAAGCTTGGTCTAAAAACCGGAAAAAGAGATCACGATATAGCCTAGATAATGTTGGGAGAGATTATGATAATGGCGATGGTGTCGACAACAATGTCCACGATGACGACGACGACGACGATGATTAGGAATGAGAGAAAGAGAATGATAGATGATGGAGACAAATCAGTATTGCTATAAGTTCTATTTAATAAAAGAAAGAAAGAAATTATGACGTGCGTATATATTTACGCAAGACGCGACACTAATTATTATCGTAATGGGCATCTAAAGCGATATTAGAACTCTGCTGCATTCGAATGAACATAGAAGCCTACGTATTTGATCAATATACAGAACAACATCTCCCCCTCTCTCCTTATTGAATTACAATCATAGCATCGCCGATAGCAATGGTTTCAAATTACATCTTCCCATTGCGATATTTCCTCGCTTTTAAATAATGGCGCCTCGCCATGACAAGAACTACTTTTGTGGAAAATAAGCTGTAACACAAAGCAGACGACGATTACGTGCGATATACGACCACACGATTATCGAGTTAAATCGAAAGGTAGGCCATTTAATTTCCTTGAGGAGAATACAATTTCCGTACATTGAAATAGCTTGTTGGATAATAGAATACGTTTGGTATTAGGTTATACTTGGTGAATAAACCGTGAAACAAATGAATTGATTCAGAGTTTTTGCAAAGGCGTTTTCTGGGAAATTACAAGAAAAAGTAAAATCGGCGAGTGACATGTTAACCTTTTAGAAATAAAGCCAACGGTGATTTCTATTTCGGTCATCATGCACTTCGCGTTTCCCGGCATCCTTTTGGTTATTTTTGGTTATTACCTAAATATATAATGTGTTATTTACATGCATCATTTACTTTCGAAATGCTACAGCTCGTTTACCTTAAAAAAATCATTCGAAACATCTCTAAGTGGTTGAAGAGTCAATTTCTCTTTCGTAATCGCATAAACAAATAAAACACGGAATCTTTATCTAATTGATTATAATAACAATCTCCAAGCTCCGCATTATTAAGGAAATAAAATACGTATGTTGTAAGTAATGTCTAATGAGTCTTGGTATACATTTAGTAAACAAAGTAGACACGACCATTTAAGGCCCTTCAGTATACGAAAAACACCAGAGAAGGGAAGTCTAGTTCAAGAAAGCGAAAGTTAAATGTGATGCCTATATCAAATGATACGTGTTGTATATCATTCTGCATTAATTTTCATCTATTTCTGTCTCACTCCAACACAGAAATACAACACCGAGAGATGATAGACGACGGACACACAGAGAGTGAGACAGAAAGACAGAAGGAAGTTGGAGAAAGGGCGTGAATGGAAAGAGAGACAGATAATAAGAGAGTTAGAGATATTGGGAGGAAGAGAGTGGTGGGAATGAAAGAAAGAGACAGAGACAGACAGACAGACAGACAATAAGAGAGTTAGAGAGATTGAGATTTAGAGATGCATGGAGGAGAGGGAGAGAGAGAGAGTGTGAGAGAGAGAGAGAGAGAGAGAGAGAGAAACAGTAAGAGAGCTAGAGAGATTGGGATTTAGAGATGCATGGGGAGAGGGAGGGAGAGAGAGAGAGAGAAAGAGAGAGAGGGGTTTATAATGATAATGGAGAAATGAAAAAGCAGGACACACTAGATCTTTGGAGCTTGTTACATGTACAGGGTCTGAAATAATTGTCAAACGAGAACGTCAAATATTCACAAGGTAAGAAAACTTGAAACTACCGAAATAGAGAGAAGGAGGTACATTATATTTAATTAGACAATAATATGAACCGTTTTTTGGTACCATCATTAGAAAGGGTTCTTATGAAACAGATGCACTATATTCGTGCAAAAATTCAAATTCAGAACATTAATTAAAAGAAGGGTGGGAAGGCGAGCCCCGATGAAAACTCTTAGACTAAATAAGGATATTAAAGTGGAAATGTATTTTCAAGGATATCAACAACCAGTTAAATAAGAGACAATTTCCTGATGTTATCATCCCCGACGAACCTTCTACATTGTCTGATTATCTTCTTTTTTTAAAACCATTATCTTCTCTGAGCAATCGCGCGTCAATCCTCCATCCTCAGAAATTAAGATGATGCAGACCCTAAAAATAAAACACTCTCCTACTGTCCTCCATCTTTTGGTTTGTTTCTGTCATCCCTTGCAAGTGTGCACAGTGACTCAGCTAGTCCATACAACTGTAAATTGTGAATCACAGGCTTACGAAGTGGGAAGGGTGGGGTTGCTGGAAGCCACCCCACTCCTCGATAAATATGAAATAATTTATACTATTCGGGCAACTGACACCTCATTCGGTAGCAATAAAGTCTATTTGTAATATTATTGTTCTATCGTATATAATATTATTTGCTTGGTTGCTTCGCTCGATCGCAAAACTAATAGACAGGAAAGACGATATTCAGGCACGAGACATAACCTCACTGGAGAGAAATTGTTCCTGTATGCCTACATGACCTGACATTTTATTTTAATCATGGTCCACTGTCTATGTGGGTGCAATGCGGATCTCATGCCGAGTTTCTTATGCAAAAATAGATTACATTTCGCTGCCCATACTACGTCTTTAAGTGTTGAGGAAACGACCTAGACAGAGAAACGTGATTAAAATAATATGAAACCTCATGAAAATTTGGGGAAAATATTCACCGGAGTGGAAATACGAAGAGATAAGATGAGAAATTACAATGTATAGACAGCAAAACACGTTAAACATGAAACCATGGACCTATATGTATGTAGCGACCTGCAGAAATATGCGGTAAAACAAAACTAAACAAATCACCCCCCCCCCCCCCGAAAAAGGCCCTCTGTACACGGACTCGATCAGATTCATACGGGGTTATCCAAAGTTGGCTACACTCTCTCCTGAAGCTAGCTTCTACGTCGCGCTATTTTCGGAGGGCTGGAATGGAATGGACGGACGCAAACAAGGAGTTGAGGTTAAGCAGCGTCTTCCAGAAGGGATTGAGCTTCACTGACAAACGAGGATTATAAAGATCAAGTCTCTGTTTGAAAGAAGGAAGATCTACTCATCTCCCTTTCTTTCATTTCTCAAACAAGATGCCAGCAAGGAGTTTGAATCTCTGTAAATGTGCACGTACGTGTCTTTCATGCGAAGCCGCCATTAAAAAAAACACCTTTGGTAACGTTCCAAAGAATAGCCCTGAAACAGACACCAGTCCTGTGGAATAGAGTGTTTCACGATCTACAGAAGATGGGCTTACTTTATTTTTGAGGTGGAAAGGGTGGGGGGGGGGGGGGGGCACAATGCAACGAAAATATGGACTCCATAGAATACACGCATTTTGAAAACTCCATTGTATAATGCTCTCCGTTGCAGATACTAGTAGACGTTCTATTACACATTAATCGTCTGCGAGTTGCGCATGTTTGCAAGAAATCTATATAATTGAAATTTTAACGGAAACAACGACCTTCACAATCACAAAGAATCCCATTTTAACTTGAGAAGCAACTTGACGAGGCTTGGTAATGTTTCTGTCAAAAGTTGTTTTCGCTACAGTTAAACTGGAAGTGAAACTCGCAGGCATCGTTATTTCCCTGTGGTATTTCCTTTTATTTTTGCATCCTCAATATTGGAAATTGGTTGGTGCATTTTCAATTGTATGTTTCTTAATCATAAATCTAATTTCTACTAATTTGCCTATTATGTATCATGCATATGAACAAAGGAAATTTTCGTTAAATATTATTGACAATAAAGGTAATTCTAACTATCTATAAACTTAATTAAGAAGATTTATGATCTTAATGATTCGTATGGGGATGTAGCGCGGGAGAGAGAGAGAGAGAGAGAGGGGGGGGGGGGAAAGAAAGAAAGATATATATATATATATATATATATAGAGAGAGAGAGAGAGAGAGACAGAGAGAGAGAGGATGATGATAAAGTGGAGAGGAATTGGTTTAAAGAAAGGGACGTATATCGTGAGGCAGGTGTGCCGAACGGAGATGATGTTCATCCTGTATGGATGTGGGTTACGATCAACAGAGGTTAACACCAATATCCCGTGTACCCTACCAGACTGATGAGGGGGTCATTGTTGCCCCCATTTTTATAGTTTCATCGAGTGATTTTGTATCACTCATGTATACATGTATACCTAATAAGGTGATTCAAACGACCAAGTACACTGCAAGTATTTTAATTTTAAACAAAATTAAAAATTAAAAAAAGGCGGAACACTGAAAAGGGTGAAAAAAATTCCCCCGCCAGAGAGTTTTCATCATAAAATTATCAGTAGTCCCAGTGGATTTGAGAACTAGCCTGCAAGATCATCAACAAGTTTCAAATTCGAGTTCAAAACTTGTCATTTAACGTAGACACTAATTATAACT